GCTGCAGGTAGAATGGAGAAGATGAATGGGAAGTAGAAGAAATTGTAGCAGAGAGTACGCCGTCGTGGGAGAGGGCATAAGCTATACTACGAGGTGAAGTGGAAAGGTTTCCACCGAACGACGCTCGAACCAGCAGAACTACTAGAGGACGTTGAGGCAGTGGACCGATGGGAAGCATTCACGGAGGCTGCGCGAGACAGCGAGGGCCGCCTCCCAGAGGGGTTTCAAAGAGGCGACGCAGTACCACCCTAAGGAGGGGGGTATTGTAACGGGCTGAACGCCCTTTGGATAGCTCCTCGATGGAATCTCGGTCAAGCAGCAGACGCCAGGTCTTACTCTGCAACCCGGCATCTGTGCGAGGCCTGAGCGGCGCCCAGACGACGCGCTCAGACACTCGGTGCAACCTTTCTCCGACAAGTAAATAAACACCACGCAAGTAGACTCTATAGCTCTCTATCGAATACAACCTCTTGTATACCTCGCGATTGCTCCCTGGAGCGCAGCCCCTTACATAAAATAACTCCACTAGTAGCCTAGATATACTTGATAAGAGTAATAAGCTTATAATTATTCGTATTATAAATAAAGACTATACGTTAGTTTTTAGTGTATAAGTACTACTCTTTTATAACACTAATATAGTAGCTAGTCTTATCTATATTATATATAGACTAGCAAATGGGTCTCCACCTTGGGATCTCTTTTTCCACCATAGCTCTCTCCGTACTAGACCTAATCAGGCAACTAATAGCTTATATTGTAGCCCTAGCTTAGATCTATAACTATCTAATAAAAAGTAACACGCTAGCTAGAATAAGTAAGAAGTTATACCTCTTCGGGCTAGCATGTGGAGACCCAAGTCTTGGCAAGTGTTACACGGGGTTGGGTGCTGATACTTCTCTAAGCTCGATCCGGGTTAGGGCGAGTGAGATGGTGTGAAGAGCGCCGTGAGGTGGTTGTCTGGCGATGCAGTGGAGTGGGCGTGCTTGTAAGATAGATAACAAAAGGTTTGACAATTCCTAATCTATATCGAATAGACTAACGAGTATCAATCTTGTGAAGTTAAGTAACTAGTAAGAAAGTACAATTTGAGTTGACCACCACGAGAGTAATAATGAAATCCATCCATCCTTATATCCTCATTGCTTCCAGTCCTGCCATCAGAACTTCGACCTGCCATCACTGATGGTTGTCTCCACTTCTGATGGCTGCCATCACATGCGGGTCCTGCCATCACTAATGGCACCGTCTTGGCGTGATGGCACATCACGTGACTTGGCCCCGCCACGTCCATCATTTCCCGCTGGTATCCCAAGTGGCTTCCTAACCACTATACCATCAGCACAGGGAAGGAGATCCTTTCTGTTGTTACTTGTAACAGCAAGGTGGGTAGGCTAATAACTTTTTACCTACTCTAGCTAGCGTGTTACTTTCTATTAGTTAGTTATAGATCTCAATTAGGGCTATGAAATAAACTATTAGTTGTCTAATTCGGTCTAGTACAGAGAGAGCTATGGTGGAAAAAGAGATCCCGAGGTGGAGACCCATTTGCCAGTCTATACAGCAGCTGTTGGGCCCGAGTAATTATCTCTTATATAAGCTTAAACTACGCGTTAATAATCTATAAATCTTCCAACTATATTATCTAGCAGTCTTTTACTTAATTAAAAGCTATTTTAAGCTCGTCCAAACACAATACGAATCGCTCTGCCTAGTTCTTGCCTAAAGGTTGGCTATCTTATACGCGTAGTAGTTTCTCTGCCATATCCACTACCTCGCATAGTTGAGGAGCAAATCCTCTGTAGTCTTAATCAAGAATATATCGTACGATTGTTTGCTCTTCAATTATACTTAATTTGCTGCAGTTTGGAGATGTCTAGGGTCGAAAAGTGATTTTATCAAGCCGATCAGAAAGCCGCTAAAAAGGAACGTTGTAGACAGCAGCGCGTTGAATGCTCTTAAACTAGCCCGTACGATAGGCCTAAATAGCAAGAGTAATTCTACCTTCTCTCTGAGTTAATGCATCTTCACGTGGTTGGGACATGTACTTTGCAAGTGAAGTTCGCGACGCCAAGAAAAAGTGTCCGGCTCGGTGGTGTGTCCGGCTCGGTGGTGTGTCCGGCTCGGTAGTGCTTTACGTTATAACTATATAACATATCACCAGCTTCAAAAATTATCTGCAGCTTGGAAAATGGCCGAAATCACGTTGTTTTAGTGGGCTGCGCGCGGTGTTGTGGTGTGCCAAGCCATTTCGGAGTATCGATTATCTTGTCCACCGGGTGATAGAGAATGCAAAGTATCGAAAGATTTGGTTTTCATTTCTATTACCTAAAGCGCATGAGAGATGAGTAAAGCAATATGTCCCTCGGATTTTGGAAGATCAAATGCCACCAAGTCCGTGCCAGAAAAGCCGGATTTTCGGAGCTGCTCGTTCCACTGTTCAGCAGATTGCAATGGGCTTTCCACTCTGCCCTCATCGACCCCGTGCCACCAACCCGGAAGTGAGCCAAAGACCATGTTAAAATATGGAGTCAGTCTCGTGAGCTCCACGAGACCCAGTATTCCGCCTGGCTTCAACAGCTTGTGAATGTTTCCAAGTGACTTTGTAAGAGAACGCGTAGCGTGGATAGCATTTGCAGTAATGACCACATCGTACGCGTGTTCCTGAAAGCCCTGACCGGCAACATTGCTCTCAATATCCAGTTTTCGGAACGTGAGCAAATGCTGCCACTTCTTTAGCGTTGACTCGCCAGTCTTGAAAAAGTTGGGCGAGATGTCAGTGTACATGTATTCGTCGCAAAAAGCTTCCCCGCAAGGACTGCACGCTTGGAGCACCTGAAACGTTGTGCCCCCCGTTCCAGCACCAATCTCTAGTATTCTCAACTTCCTCTTGGCCTGAGAAACGAGCTGTTTGACGTACTCGGCCACGTACCGGTTTGGTCGGGCCCCCTCGTCAGAACGGTATATGCGAAACAACAAATCGTCCTTGAGGAGCAGAAAAAGAGGGTAGATTTGCCCAGTCAGCAGGCCCACCAAATTCGGTCCGATTTTGGAAATAGCCTCTCCCTCAACGCCCAGCCTGCAAGTAAGCTTTTCAAGGCCCTCTTTTGTATCCGGACTTTGACCGATCAGTGTCTGGCCTTGCTCGGATCGCACAAAAGCATCCAACACCCTCCACCAATGTATGCGGTAGTCGTGCTTTACGACCAATCCACCATTCTGTATCTCTTGCACTGCCCAGGATATATACCGAGCGCAGGCGGCGGAGCAGCAATTAAACTTTTCCGAAGGTGAGATACCGACTTGGTCAGACTGCAGGGGTATGACCATCGACTCTAATGCCTCGGCAGTTGTGGTAAGTCTGGTATCATCAACACTTCCACTTGAAGCGTCACCATTGCGCCCATTCTTGTTGCACGAAGCGAATGAAGCGTCCATGTTTGCTGGGGTCGTAGTTGGCTCGTGCTTAACCTGTGCAGAAAAACAAGTGGGCTGGTTCCAACTGAAGACACAAGACTTGTTGGAGACTGAGAATTTGGAAATCCGGAGGTAGATGACCGTCTAGATTGTTGGTCTAGTTCCAGATTAAGCTCCCGTTTAATACGAAACACTCGTGAATAGATATTGGTAGCTTGCGGCTTCCGATCGATGACTTGTCACGCAGACTTATACACAAAGAATAAGCTGTACAGGGTATGGGTGGCAAGCTTTCAAAGTGCAGCCTTTGGTCGGGCAATGGTTAAATAACCCACCACTAATAGCTATCTCACCCACTTTGAAGCTAGGGTTTGCATTAGGGGCGCGGCATCTAAACTCTATAGAGTTAGTACTATAATTAAATAACTTAGATTTTTTTATAACTTACCAAGTAGCTAAATAATACCTATTTAGTATAAAGCGCTAATGATATATTTTAGGTAAGCTAGGCAGCCCTTAAGCTATCTTAACCTATACTATATAATGCGTAGAAATTGTTAGAATATACTAAAAACTCTATTAATTTTGCTTTTTATTATATTGCTTACTACTTATAATACTATTTTATTTAATAAGACTAGACTGGCAAATGGGTCTCCACCTCGGGATCTCTTTTTCCACCATAGCTCTCTCTGTACTAGACCGAATTAGACAACTAATAGTTTATTTCATAGCCCTAATTGAGATCTATAACTAACTAATAGAAAGTAACACGCTAGCTAGAGTAGGTAAAAATTTATTAGCCTACCCACCTTGCCAAGACTTGGGTCTCCACATGCTAGCCCGAAGAGGCATAACTCACTACCTATTAGAGCTAGCGTCATACTATATACCAGTAAGTTATAGATCTATACTAGGGCTACAAAACAAGCTATTAATTGCCTAATTAGGCCTAGTACTTGGAGAGCTATCGTGGAAAAAGAGATCCCGAGGTGGAGACCCATTCGCCAGTCTACTCTTAGCCTATACTAATTAGTATATACTAGCGCTTAAGATACTATATTAGTATCTTCTCACTAAGCTAGAACTTAGAGCTAAGGTGCTCTAGGTATTAGATTTTAATTCATACTAGTAGACTTATTAATTTTAAGCTCTAGAGATTGAAGTTACCTGAATGCCTCTTAAGCTAAAAGTAATTTTATAGTATAAATAGCCTAAAAAAACTTAAAAAAAAAGCTTAAGGTAGTAGCGTAAACTAAGCTTTTTTAAGCGTATAGATGCTAATAATTAAGTAACTCTACTAGCTACTATACTAGCCTCAATAGCAACTTAGCTAATAGAGTAGATTACTATACTACCTCTACTATTGTAAGGGGCTCGACCCCGGAGGGTAGTCTTAAGCTCGGGAGCACGATCGGACAGGCCAAGGTAACAAGATTGTATTCGATAGAGAGCTAAGCTCTCGGCTACGTAGCTATCTATATACAATGCTGGTTGCTAGGGTAACAATTAGGCCAGGCAGGTGGAGTAAACGAGGTCGTAGACGAGTATAGGAGGCGAAGGGCGTTCAGCCCGTTACAACTATAGCCTTTAGCACTTAATTACTACTACTAGGCTCAGCTATAATACTAAGTTTTAGCTAGAATAGCTACTTTATAGCTATCTTAGCAGCTTGATATAGCTTTACTAGGCTACTAGCTAAGCTACTAGCTAAGTTACTAGCTTCTACTACTACTACTACTACTACTACTATACTAATTAGCCGCTTACCCTACCTACTTAGCTACCTACTTAATTTTCTAACTACTACTTATGTATAGCTCTACCTATAAAGGCTTTATAATAGGGCTTTAAAATAGGCCTCTAAGTGCCTATTTTAGCTACTTTAACTACCTAGCTATTACGTAATATCTCTATTCTCTATACTACTTGCCTTTTTACTTAAATTTACTACTAAACTTAAGTAGTAAAAGGCGTGATAATAATTAATAGCTTTATTATAGTTAGCTAATATAATTATCATACTACGTTAGCTATAGCTTTTTTTAGTAAGTAGCTAAGAGCCTATTTTAGCCTAGTTTTTAGGCTATATAGAATACTAAATCTTAGGTAATATAGCTGGTTTTTAAATATTACTTTTCTACTTCTACAATTTTTGTTTTAACTATATAATACTACTTACTTATTACTTATATACTAGCTATCTTTAGGCACTTAAGATTACTACTATATAGCTATATAAGCGTAAGTAATATATAATACTACTAATAATGCAGCTAAGCGCGCTATGTAGGGGGCCCCGGCTTCGAGGTGGGTGAGATAGCTATTAGTGGTGGGTTGTTTAACCATTGCCCTTTGGTCGGGGTAGTTGCTGGAAGTAGTAGTTCGGGCCTTTGCTGCATCTTCCAATTATCCCGAATGCGACCACGCTGTTTTGTTCTAGTGGAAGTGATAGTAAGCTGCAGTACCTAGTCCATACGCAGGCCCTTTAACTCTCATGCATAAGAGTGTACTACCATGTAAGCAGGTAGCAGCCTTGGGTCCAATAGAGTGGTGACTCAGAAGCATTCCCGACTCGTTCTATCTGTTATTCGGTCAAGCCCTCCCCCTCTCTCATACCTTATGATTTTGTAACTATATAAAATAAAAAGTACTCTTGAGCCTCAAAGTCTCCTCTGTACCTTTGGATAAACCTTGTTTTCTTTCTGGTTGCCTGGAAGTTGCCCTCTTATATACCTGCAAGTATATCCTGCTTTTTTTGCGCTGGAACAAAGGGACTGATGATGCTATTGATACAGAAGCAACATGATTTCTGTAGATGAGCCTATTGCAATCATTGGCTTGGCATGCAGATTTCCCGGCGGCTCTAATTCTCGCGATAAGTTTTGGGAGCTGTTGAGTCAACCTCGGGACATTGCGAGGGAGTTCAGTGCTAAACGATTGAACTTGGGGCGGTTTTACAATGCCAATGGCGAGACACACGGATGCACAGATGTCCAAGGGAAATCGTACCTACTTAAAGAAGACTGTCGCCTCTTTGACGAAGGCTTCTTTGCCATCAACCCGGCAGAGGCGGCGGGCATGGACCCTCAGCAGCGAATGTTACTCGAGGTGACGTACGAGGCATGTGAGAGTGCTGGGGTGACGCTTGAGCAGCTCAAGGGGTCCTTGACCTCGGTCCATGTCGGGGTCATGAGTAACGACTATTCGGTTATCCAAAGCCGCGACACGGAAACGATGGCAAAGTACAACGCCACGGGGACTGCCAACAGTATCCTCGCAAACCGCGTTTCATACGCATTTGACCTCAAGGGCCCGTCTGTGACTATCGATACGGCATGTTCGAGTTCTCTGGTGGCACTCCACTATGCTGTTCAGGGCCTTCGTACTGGCGAAAGTGACATGGCTATTGTCGGCGGCACCAACCTCCTCCTAGACCCAACGCCCTATATTGCAGAGTCGAAACTGCACATGCTATCGCCTGACTCACGGTCGCGTATGTGGGATAAAGCGGCCAACGGGTATGCGCGTGGTGAGGGCATCGCTGCATTGCTGCTGAAGCCGCTCGGGGCGGCGCAGCGAGACGGCGATGCCATTGATGCCATTATTCGCAGTACTGGCGTGAATTCGGATGGCACAAGCCAAGGCATCACCATGCCGTCTGCCAGGGCACAGACGGATCTCATCCGCCAAGTGTATCGCCGGGCGGGACTGGATCCTGTCCACAATGGGCCGCAATACATTGAGTGTCATGGGACAGGCACGCAGAGCGGTGATCCGGTCGAGGCGCGCGGCGTCTTTGATGCATTCTACTGCGACGAGACGACGGGCAAGGCGAGGGACGATGGGGAGACGATTTTTGCTGGATCCGTCAAGAGTATATGTCATGGCCGCCCTCTAGTTAGCGTGTTTGCTTACTAACGACCGGCAGCCGTCATTGGCCACCTAGAAGGCTGCGCTGGGCTCGCCGGTGTCATCAAAGTGGTGGCCATGCTCCAGCACGGCAGCATACCACCCAACCTGCATTTCAGCGAGGTCAACCCCAAGATTGCACGCTACCACGGGCCCGGAGCACTGGTGGTGCCCACGACGCTGTTGCCGTGGCCCCAACTGCCACCGGGCGCACCGAAGCGAGCCAGCGTCAACAGCTTTGGCTTTGGCGGCACCAACAGCCATGTCATCCTCGAGAGCCCTGCGGCGGCAGAGCTGGGCCCGGCACAGGACTCGGCCGGGGGCGTCGTGGGTCCGCTGCTCTTGTCGGCCAACTCGGGGCCCGCGTTGCTGCGCAGCGTGCGGTCACACCTCGAGTACCTGCAGCGGCATGCCGACGTGCCTGTGGGCAACGTGAGCAGGGTGCTCCAGACGCGGCGCTCGACGCATCGCGTGCGTGTGTCGTTCACAGGCGCCACGCGGCAGCGCATCGTCGAGGCCATGGCCGACTTTGTGGCCAGTCACGTGACGTCGCCGCCCAGCGACATTGGCACCGTGGCACGGCTGGTCAACCCCAAGGAGGCGCCGGGCATCTTGGGCATCTTCACCGGCCAGGGTGCGCAGTGGGCGACCATGGGCCGCGAGCTGCTGCGGGCGTCGCCCGTGTTCCGCCGCAGCGTCGAGGCGTGCGAGGCGGTGCTGCGCAACGACCTGCTGCCCGGGGATGCGCCCGCGTGGTCGCTGGTCGACGAGCTGGTCAAGGAGGCGGGCGAGTCGCGTGTGCACGAAGCGGCCGTGGCGCAGCCGCTGTGCACGGCGCTGCAGATTGGCCTGGTCGACGTGCTGGGCGCGGCGGGCGTTCGGCTTGGCGGGGTCGTGGGCCACTCGTCGGGCGAGATTGCGGCTGCCTACGCGGCCGGCATCCTCTCAGCCCGAGCCGCCATGCAGATTGCCTACTACCGCGGCTTCTACGCCCACGTGTGCGGCGGGCGCGACGGCGTCAAGGGCGGCATGCTGGCCGTCGGCCTGTCCATGCAGCGCGCCCAGCAGCTGTGCAGCCAGCCGGCGTTGCAGGGCCGGCTGGTCGTGGCGGCCAGCAACGCGCCGCAGAGCTGCACCCTGTCGGGCGACGTAGATGCCGTCGACGCGGCCAAGCAGCAGCTGGACGGCGAGGGCGTCTTTGCGCGCCGGCTGCTCGTCGACACGGCCTACCACTCGCACCACATGCAGGCCTGTGTCGCGCAGTACGCGGCGGCGCTCGACAAATGCAACGTGCACGTGACGGCGCCCCGGCCCAGCGGCCCCATATGGACGTCGAGCGTGCGCGGAGACGCGCGGCTGCTGCGCGGCAACCTGGCGGCGCTCCAGGGCCCCTACTGGATCGACAACATGGTGCAGACGGTCAAGTTCTCGCAGGCCGTCGAGGCGTCCCTCTGGAGCGGCGGCGGGCCGTGGGACGTGGCGCTCGAGATTGGGCCCCATGGCGCGCTCAAGGGCCCCGTGGCGCAGACGCTCAAGGCCGCGTTTGGGGCCGCTCCGCACTATGCCAGTCTGCTCGAGCGCAACAAGAACGACGTCGAGGCCGTGCAAGCCGCCATTGCCCACGTCTGGACGCAACTGGGGACGGGCCATGTCGACTTTGCAGGCTACCGCCGCAGCTTTGGCGACCACACGCCGTCGTCGATACTCCGGGGCCTGCCGACGTATGCATGGGATCACGACCGGGTGCACTGGCGCGAGTCGCGCTCCTCGATGCGCTTCCGTACCCAGCCCCATGCAGGCCACGAGCTCTTGGGCCGCCGCGTCGCCGACGACAACAACCACGAGTTGCGATGGCGCAACATCCTCAAGCTCGACGAGCTGCCATGGCTGCGCGGCCACGACGTGCTCGGCGCCGTCCTGCTGCCCGCCGCCGCCTATGTGTCCATGGCAGCCCAGGCGGCCTCTCAGCTGGCCGCCACCCTCGCCCCCCACGGCCCCCCCATGCACCAACTATCCGTCGAGGACATGGACATTCTGCGCCCCATTGCTGTCCCAGACCATGGCGACGGCATCGAAACGCTCTTTACCGTCCATGTGCTGTCGTCCGACGCGAGCACAAGCACCAGCCGGCTGCTGCGTGCACGATTCTCCTACTACTATGCCGCCCACGACAGCACCAGCACCGCCGAAGCCATGATTCACACGTGTACGGGCACAATGGTCGTCCGCCTTGCCTCTGCTTCTGCCAATGGCGGCTGTCCCCTGCCACAGCGACAATCGCTTCCACACAACCTGGTCCAAGTCGCAAGCGAGCCCATCTACGCCATGTTCCGGCACATGTCGCTCAACTATACCGGCGCATTCCAAGCCATCACCGAGAGCCACCGCTGTCTCGGCTACGCGGCCTCGACCGCCGCTTGGCCCACCGGCTCGCCCGTTGCGCCTACTGCACTGTCGCACAATCACTATGTCGTGCATCCCGCCATGCTCGACGTAGCTTTCCAGTCCTTGTTCGTCGCACACACGCATCCTGCAACCCAGCAAGCAAAGTCGGCGGCGCCGCTGCTGCCGTCGCACATTGATCGAGTCATCATTGATCCTCAGCAAACACTCGCCAGCAGCAACAGCACCTCTGTCGCGTGCAAGTTTGACGCCTGGGTCGTGTCGGCCACAAGAGCGCGACTGGAAGGTGACATCAACATCTACCATGATGTGTCGGGCCAAGCACTGATTCAGATCGAGGGCCTGTCCGCACGAGCAGCCGACGGAGGTCAAAGCGCCTCTCTCGACAAACAAGTCTTTTGGAAAACCGTCTACGGTCATGATGCATCACTTGGCGGGCTGCTGGCTCCCCCACATGACAGCTCGGCAGTCGCTGATGATGCCATCGCCCAGCTGCTCAAACAAATCACCTTCAAGTTCCCACGCTGCAAGCTGCTGGAAATGGGCAACGGTACCGGCCAGACCACCACGGCACAGAGCATCCTGAATCTTGTGCAAGACCTGTATGAATCGTACACATACACCGATCCATCTCCACAGGTCCTTAGTACTGCTGCTGCTACGCTGGCCAATTTCGAAAGGACAGCATGCAAGACGCTAGACATTTCCCAAGACGTGCATCCACAGGGCTTCAATGCTCATTCATACCATGTCATCATCGCACCCCAAGTGCTGTCTGCAATCTCTACTACTACTACCACAAGATTAGACGACATTCTTGACAGGGTCCGCATGTTACTGCGTCCTGGCGGCTACCTGGTCTTATCAGAGATGACCGGGAGTCCGAGTACCACGGCCAACAACGACGGGTCAATGCTCTCACCAGGCGAGTGGCATAGGCAGCTCCGTACGTCTGGATTTTCCGGCGCTGAAACCATCGCCTATGACAATGTAGATGAGAGCAGGCATTTGTACTCGTGCATCGTGACCCGGGCTGTCAATGACGACTTTATGCGTCTTGTCAAGCCACTGCCGCCTCCTGCATCCATGTCTACCCGACCTCTCATCGTCATCGGAGGCCGTGGTCTGTACAGCAGCAAGATGATTGAAGAAATGGAAAATCTTTTGCCATCATCTTGGCGGCAGTCGGGCTTGATACACATCGTTCCTAGCATTGACCATTTCACTATGCACGACGGACTCGAGGGTGTAGCAGTCGTCGACGTCATATGCTTCCAAGACGTGGATGAGGCCGTGTTTGCACAACTACCCGTGACCAAGACTCGGCTAAAAAAGCTTCAATTGCTCATGATGTCGGCTGCAAATCTCCTATGGGTCACTGGTGCAGGCACATCACTCGATCCACGCGCTAGCATGATTCTCGGTATCGCCCGTGTGGTTCCAGTCGAGATGCCACATCTCACCATGCAAGTGCTCGGGCTTGAGATGGGGGCCAACATGGGCCCGGCTGCACATGCCAGGCACTGTACCGAGGCATTGCTACGTCTCCGCTACACGGGCGAACTCAAGGCCAAGGCGCTGGACAAGCAGTCGAGCCCAGGCGGCATACTCTGGGCCATTGAGCCCGAGTCGGAAATATTGGCAGATGGCACCATCCGCATTCAGCGTTTGGTGCTGGATATCGAGTTGAATCAGCAGTACAATGCGAAATCGCGTACCATTGTCAAGCCTGTCAAAACAACAACCAACGCCATGGTTCGCACCATTGTTCCAAAGGGGGCATCTAAGATGCAGCTCCAGGCTGTGCATGAGCCTCTGTCCTCGTCCTCTCTAGATTCCAGCAAAGATATCATCCAAGTCCGCATCCAACATACCATCCATATCCCGTCGCACTCTGACCATGGCCAAGAACTTTACCTAGTCTGCGGCCAGCAGGTGCCAAAGGAGCAGGGTCAGCAGCTTGGACATGCTGTCATGGCTCTGAGCCATGTCAATGCCTCAAGACTACTTGTGGAATCGGACAAGTTGATCCATGTTGCGTCGGAGCACCTGACGCCAAAAAGCCTAGAGCATGTGGCTGACAATTTGCTACGATTTGCCATTGTCAATCGGGTTCAGTCGTACGCGTCAGCCAACCCAACTGCTGCGCCGCTGCATGTTCTTTTGGTGCAACCAGAAGTTAATATTGCAAACACGCTTCATGCTGAGCTCACTCAGGCAGGTCATCAAGTATACTGTGTGTCGTGGAAAACAGACGCTGACATTCCTGATGGCTGGATCCGGCTGCACGCAAACATGTCCAGTCGTATGGTTTGGCAGTGCTTGCCGTCATGCAGCATTGATTTGTTGGTCGACTGGCCCATGAAGCCTAGTGAACGTATCAACGGCAGTGAACATTTGCGCAAATTGCTTCCACTTGCGCATGAGACGTGTCATGCTGGGGCCGATCTCCTTTGGGATATTTTCCACAAAAATGGTTCTTGTTTGGCGACTCTGTCCGCGGCTGCGGATATCAGAGCAGAAGACATAACAAAACTAGGCCAAATATCTTGCAATTGCCAGATCAAGGAAGCAGGTGAACTAAGTGGCGCAGACGCTACCAGTCTTGCCTACCAGCGGTACATCACCGACTGGAGCCATCCACAACCTCTTCCTCTAACAGTACAGCCTTTGCATGTTCGTCTCCTTGGCCTCCTGCGGTCTGATCGCACCTATCTGCTAGTGGGTAGCTCCAATGGACTAGGCATTTCCCTGTGCCAATGGATGTTGAGCCAGGGCGCCAAGCACATTGTCATCACTAGCCGCCATCCAAAAGAGAATGCTCAACTGAATCAAGCGGCACATCGCCTTGGGGCATCTGTCCATTTTATAGCCATGGATGTCACACAGCGGGACCAGGTTCTTACGGTCGTGGGCGACATTCGCAGAACCATGCCGCCCATCGCCGGGGTATGCAACTTGGCCATGGTGCTCAACGACAAAATGTTTCGTGAAATGTCGGTTTCACAACTCAACACCACTTTGGAGGCCAAGGTAATTGGTACCGAGATCCTCGATCAAGTTTTTGACAGCACCACCGCTGCTGCTGCTAATCCACCGCTCGATTTCTTTGTTCTCACATCATCCTTGGCGAGCGTCGTTGGTAACATTGGCCAGGCCAATTACCACTCTGCCAACTTGTTCATGGCTAGTATCATGGAGAAGCGCCGCTCGCGTGGTTTAGCGGGTTCAATCATTCATATCGGCTGGATTGCTGATACAGGCTACGTCGCCCGCTCGGATAAAAAGCACCAACTTGCAGACCATTTTCAAAGCATACGTTTCATTCCTCTCTCCGAAACAGACGTACAGGAAGCTTTCGCACAAGCCATACAGACAAGTAAACCTAGACATCATCCCAACTCTGAATTGCACGGCCATGCGCAGAGTTACGAAATCACCATGGGCCTTGAGCTGCCGACCGAACCAATGCAAGAAAACCAAGCTAACAAGGCCTTATGGGTATCATCTCCACGACTCATGGCCTTGGCACCGTACACAACCTCCTCGCCATCTTCGACGCAGCAGCGACCTGGACAAGACACTCTCCTAAACAGTAGTCTAAAGCAGCAAATCAGCAAGGCTGAGACGGCAGAAACAGCTGCGGCGGTTGTAGCGTCTGCTTTTGCAGCTAAGCTTGAGACTATCCTAGCGCTGCCGACCGGTTCTGTTCAAGCGGATCTCGAGCGGCCCATTGTCGAATTCGGCATAGACTCACTTATTGCCACTGAAATACGAACCTGGCTTCTCAACGACATAGACATTGATGTGGATATATTCAGCATATTGGGTGGCGATAGTGTGATGCAGATTTCTGTTCAGGCGACTAAGACGATGTGGACCGGCAGCACTAGTGCAAAGGGAAAGCCAGCCAAAGATGATGAAAGCGTTGTTTCGCCTTCAACTTCAGCTTCCGCTACGGCCGCAGTCGATCTCATCGATTCGGCGTCTTCATCGTCTCAGTCCCTTGGTGATATGGCAAGCACATCCTTCGCCCTATCCCATGAGGATGCTTCCATCACTTCAGACCAATCAAGTTGTAAGGAAGACGGACTAGTGCCAGATAATGGCAAAAACAAACAGGAGAAAATCATGGCACGTCCAACCATCATCCGCGAAGCACCAATGTCTGCAGCTCAGTCGCGGATTTGGTTCATCTCTAACCACCATCGAAATCCGGCAGCACAAACAAACGCGCTGCACTACCATGTTCAGGGAAATCTTGACACGGTTCGGCTACAGCAAGCCTTTCAAATGCTGGCTCACCAACACGAAATCCTTCGCACATGCTTCTACTCTCGTCTCGAGGACGGCCACCCCATGCAGGGCATCATGGCTAAATCAGCCATTGAACTGACCATTGTGCATGAAAAGGATCAACATAGCGATGGAAACGATGAATACTATGCCAATCTCCAGGACACCATCTCTGCGATGAAATCTCGCGCATGGGGTCTAGAGCAAGGGCGGACTATGGAAATCATTTTGCTTTGCCGGAATGCAACCGAGTATGATATGGTTATCGGGTATCATCATATTATCATGGACGGCTGGAGCATGTCCATATTCTTGCGGGACATGGATCGAGCATACAAGATGCAATCCTTTGACGCAGTTTCTCACGTCTCGTATGTGGACTATTCAATCCATGAACTGAGCGAAGAAAAAGTGGGCTCATTCGACAAGGATATTGCCTTTTGGCGATCTGAGTTTGAAAACTTACCGAACATTCTCCCTCCACTCCCCATGGCCCGCCGACTTGAAAGGTCTAGTACTACTGCTACTGGGAAAGAGAGCAGCAGCAGTCACTACCTTGACGAGTGGCTAAGTCCGATTCAATTTGTGGCGCAAAAGGACCTTTGCAAGCGATTGCATATTAGCTCCTTTCATCTTCACCTTGCTCTCTTACAGGTGCTGCTAGCTCGTCTAGCTGACATTGAAGATGTGTGTGTGGGCATCGTCGATGCCAACCGTAGAGACGTGCGCTTTTGGGATACGATGGGGTGTTTCGTCAATATGCTGCCTCTTCGCTGTAATGTATCCCGCACGACTACCTTTGCACAGGTTGCCATGCAGGCTTCTCGAAAGTCGGTAGATGTCTTTTCACATGGCAATGTGCCCTTTGATCGCATACTTGATCACCTCCGAGTCCCGCGGATGTCGGGTACCAATCCGTTGTTCCAGGCTGCGATTAACTACCGCTCAAGTCTGGGGAATATCGACATCCTAAACTCGCCGCTAGGCGATGATTGCAGAATGCACTTGTCTGCTAGAGAGGTAAAGGAAGCGGAAAACCCCTACGATGTGAGCATGGGCTTTCTGGAGACCCCGACAAAGTGCCTACTTCAGGTGTGGTGTCGTGACGACTTGTATAATCAGAATGCATGTGAGACGATACTATACTCATATCTTCGCCTGCTCGAGTCGGTTGCTCGTGACCCCGACGTGCCAGTGGCAAAGATAATGCTACACGCAGACACCGAAGTGAGCCATGCCCTTCAAATAGCAAAGGGCCCAGTGATGGATTTTGGCTGGCCAACGACACTATCACAGCGTGTGCAGGACATGTGCCTTCTCTATCCCCAACGACAAGCTCTGACAGATACATATGGCGAGGAAATTTCGTATGGTCAGTTGTCGAATAGGATCAGCCATGTCGCCCAGAAGATACAGGATGCAGGAGCACATGCTGGAACTCGAGTCGCCATCTTGTGCGAGCCATCAGCGGATAGTGTGGTCGCCATGTTAGCAGTCCTCCACATGGGATGTGTATATATCCCGCTCGATACGAGTCTGCCTCCCTCCCGTCATGCAGACATGATACACAGCTGCAAACCAACGCTATTGCTCTGCCATCTGAAAACAGAGTTACGCGTGAAGGAGCTGTCGAGGGCCTTTGTTGACATGCAAACCGTTCGGTTAGGCCCTGTCGACGATGCTGTCAGTTGTGATGATGACAAAGGACAAGTAGAGCCTTCCGTTCTGCCTGTGGTTCCGGAGCCAGAGGCACCAGCAATCTGTCTCTTCACCAGTGGCTCCACTGGTAAGCCCAAGGGAATCCTCTTGACTCAGGCCAACTTCATCAACCACATTGCTGTTAAGACGCATCAGATGGGGCTGCAGCAAGAATGCGTACTGCAGCAGAGTTCTCTTGGTTTCGACATGTCTCTCATACAAATCTTTTCGGCCCTTGCGAATGGCGGTCGCCTTATCATCGCCGGCCCAGACATCAGGCGAGACCCAATAGAGCTGAGCAACCTCGTGTTCCATGAGCGCATCTCGATGACAATCGCCACGCCTACAGAGTACCTAGCATGGATCAACTGTGCCGCAAACGTGCTTCGCCAAAATTTGGCCTGGCGGTTTGCCTTTTCAGGTGGCGAAAAGATCCCTAATCAGCTCATAATCGAATTACGCCGTCTCAATCTGCCCAACCTCAGTTTGACTAATTGTTACGGACCTACCGAGACGACAGCAGCAGCTACCTTTCAAAGTATCTCATTGGAACCACAAGTGCAAACGGGCTTCTCGTGTATCTCGTCGGTGGATCCGGGGCCCTGGTCTCAGTATGCAGTTGGAAAAGCATTGCCCAACTATTCACTCTGTATTATTGATGCTGCTGGACACCCGCTACCAACTGGATACACTGGAGAGATCTGCATAGGGGGTTCAGGCGTGGCTCTTGGCTATCTTGGCCAGCCTGACGAAACCAATGCCAAATTCGTCAATTACATAATGGTCAAGCCTCGTATGTCTGAGACTGAGGGTAGTCATGGCATCATGTACCGGACTGGCGACAAAGGACGCCTTCTATCCGACGGTACACTTTTGTTCCTGGGACGACTGGGAGGTGACACGCAAATCAAATTGCGGGGACAAAGGATTGAATTGCAAGAAGTTGAGATGGCTGTGTTGCAGGCGTCGGAGGGGGCCCTTGCATCCGTCGTTGTCTCTCTCCGCAATGACGTACTGATCGCTCATGGCACGCTCTCAAAGCTCCCTCTTGAGTGCAATCAGTCGGATTTGACTCAGCGTATTCTACGTCGTGTCATGCTACCACAGGCTTTCATCCCAGGTGCTCTATGTATAATAGATGCACTTCCAAGGACACCAAATGGCAAGCTCGATCGCGAGGCCATCGCGAAGCTTCCATTGGAACGATCAGAAAAAGATGACAATGCAACTTCAAACAGCACGGAAAAGATGAGCGTTCGCGAGGGGGAGCTGCGTCTTCTATGGGAACGTGTGTTACCTAAATTTGATGATGTGCGTCTTGGTCCTTCGTCCGATTTCTTCATGTGCGGTGGCAACTCGATGCTACTCATGAAGCTCCAGAACGCTATCAAGGAGACTACCGGACTGCAGATCAGCACAAGACATCTCTACGAGTCGAGTACGTTGCGCGCCATGGCCCAATGCGTTTTCAACAAAGCAGACCTTGCGGCGACTGAGCATGACGTTGGTCCAATAGACTGGGCAATTGAGACATCGGTACCGGTTTCGCTGCACCAGAAGATTCAAGCATTGACGAGCAATCTATTTTCCGGAGTCGTTGCTTCAAGTACAGAGGGCATTGAAATTTTGTTGACTGGAGCAACAAGTTTTCTTGGCAGCCATCTCTTGCGCTCTTTTATTGCATCGTCCAGCGTCAAAACGGTACATTGCGTCACAGTGCCAGCTGATGAACAAGCCAGTCTTCCTCAGGATAATACCAAGGTCGTTTACTATAACGGGAGTCTGCTTTCACCTTCACTAGGTCTTACAACCCAAGAGTGCATCACGCTTGAGCAGACTGTTCAAGTCATTGTGCATGTGGGCGCACACGGGCACTGTCTCAACCGTTTCGACTCATTGCGTGTACCTAACCTCCATTCTCTGCATTTCCTAGCCTCGCTCGCGTTGCCACGGTCTGTACCATTCCTCTTCCTCTCAAGCAGTCGTGTTGTGCATCTTTCAGGCAATACGGCGCCAATCCCGGGTTCAATGAAGTCCACTACACCTGCTGCAGATGGAAAAGATGGGTACACGGCGAGCAAGTGGGCTGGTGAGGTATTTTTGGAAAATTTAGTGGATCATTTGAATGACACACAGATGCAGCAGCAACATCAAAACCAGATGACTAGGTCTGGTTCCTGGCGGCCCTCGCTCAAAGTTGAGGTCCATCGGCCTTGCACGCTAGCTAGCGATCAGGCTCCCAATTCTGATGCTATGAACGCTATCCTACGCTACTCACGAAGTATGCACTGTGCGCCCCGCTTGAAGCGAGCGGAAGGATATATGGATTTTGCGCCTATAGAGAATGTCGTTGCGAGCATCACGGACGCAGCACTGGACTTGGCCATGACGACAAGGCAACCTCTGCCTAAAAACCCAATGGGCGATGCATCTTGGACTAAATGGGCGGAGATCACGTTCCGACATCACTCAGGCGGCATCAAGTCGCCTATGGGCGATTTCAAGGCGCATTTGGAGAGGGTGTATCAAGGCACGTTTGAGGAGGTAGATATGCAAGAGTGGGTGGTGAGAGCTGCGCAGCATGGATTAGATCCATTGATTGTGGCGTATATTGAGGCTTTGTTGGATAGCGGTATGCCTATTGTTGGTGCGTATATGGGAGAGAAGTAGGGCACTGCATTTTTGTTTCCATTACTTTTCAAACGAAAAGTACAATTCAAAGTTTCTTCTTAACCAGATAATTTCGTTTGCCTACCAGGAATGTATGTTTGAAAACTAGGGGGCGGAGTTACTGTCTCAATTTCAGGCTCGATCAAGCCTTGTTTGGTGATATGATAGGAGTGTGCCAAAAGGGGTATACATGGAATAACACTACCACAGAGATGAGGGTTTTGATTGCCATGCATGTCTGACAAACCCTGAGCTAGTTCTGATCGCATTCCACTCCTGCAACCACATTGCTTACTCTTACAGTATAGTACAGAAATAAAGAATGCAGATGGACTAGGCTCGTGCAGTAAGTTAACAAGCGGCAAAAATGGGACCGAATGCAGAATTCGGAGTAACTCCTGGGGGTTTAGAACGGGCCGGAACCCGCATTAGTGGGAATGTCGCGGATGCAGCTGATGCAGCTGCACTGACGTAGCGAATACCTAGACGTAGCTGCGAGTGTATCTAATACACACACGATTTATTCACGCCCGGCAGCCGAGCCGAAAGGGCTACTAACACTAATCTAACTTTTACACTTCTTATGCTACGTCTTAGTCTCCTTAGCCCATATGTCTTCTTTGGCCTACTTCTTTACATAGCTTGTTATCTAAGTCAAAGCCCTTAGTTGACTAATGCCAAAGCTTACAAAGTTCCGCGGAGATGCAGTGAGAAATACTCCGTAAGCTAGTCCGTGTTGCGGCACTGTTTCGGTGGTAATTAAGACCACCCCTGTCGGCAAGAACTTTTGAAATGGACCTCAATTGTGGAACCCATCGAGTCCAGCATCAGATCAACCCTGACCACACCAATAGAGCATGAAGTTACATAGTATGTACATAAGCACAGTGTGGGGCATTGTACACGTGAACAAGAGTACGAAGAAGGAACATTCTCAGTACGGAGCAGGTCACAGACAGGTTCCAGGGCAGCTACCCTAGTTATGGCATCAGACATTCGAAAGGGGCAACAGTGACCGGTAAGCTGATGGATCTGCTCCAAGACTGTCTATGTCCCTGTTCAACTCTGTTTTGAGTACACCCTCATGCAGTTGCAGCTTCCGGTTTCTATAAGCAGGCGACCTCTCATCCTACGCTAAGTCTCTATTGCTTAGTAGTAATCTTGCCTAAGTAGTATTAGTTTCTATTAGCGATATAACTACTTCTTAGCTCTCAGGCTAATTATTACATAATATTAATATAATTTAACTTCCTTTAGATAAGCGCACATTAAGTAGATCTATATCCTGCGTAAGATGACAACTAGGCTATGTGCGCAAAGTGGAAGCTGCAAGTGCATGAGAGTGTAACGAGAAATTCCTCAGCTTTTTTGTTACCAGGCGTCACTTCCAACCCTTACTCCTAGCGTTTTTCTTCACAAAATCCATTTTTTACACCTGGCCAGCGTGATAGCCATGGAACAAGATAGCAAGAAGGCTCAGGCTGGTCACATCCCAAAAGATGGAGTGGTAGAGGATCCCAACGTGGTCGAATTTGATGGGCCGGACGACCCCGAAAATCCACTGAATTGGTCTTCTACAAAGAAAGCGACCCAGATTATTCTTGTCACGTCCATGTCGTTGCTATCGTAAGTCACGTCCCTTAGAAGACGAACCACTGTTTGACTTTTGTATATACCCATCGGCTCGACCATTAACGCGTCTTCCACGCTAGCCATTCTCAAAAACTTCAACTCATCAAATCAAACTGCCGGCGCTCTCGTCACCACCGTTTTCCTGTTGGGCTACACATTTGGTCCCATCATGATTGCGCCTCTCTCCGAGTTATACGGCCGCGCCATCCTGTACAATACATGCATGTTTTTATTTATTATCTGCAACATTCTTTGCGCATTAGCGAACAGCCTTGGCTCATTGATCGTATACCGATTCCTAAGTGGCATCGCGGGTTCGTGTCCGGTCACGCTTGGCCCCGGATCCATTACCGATATGCTCACCAGTGAGAAGCGTACGGGGCCCATGGGCGCATACATTATTGTTTCTATACTTGGCCCGAACATTGGTGTGGTCGCTGGAGGCTATTTTGCCGCTGCAGCAGGCTGGCGCTGGGACTTTTGGCTCATCGTCATTGTCTGCAGCGTTCTGACCTTGTTGTCGGTCTTGTTTCTGTGCGAGTCGAACCCTTATGTCCTCCTCGAACACAAGGCCCGACATTTGCGAAAAAGGACGCGAAATATGGCGTTGCAGTCTACATTACATACTAGCAAGACGTCAAGGGATTTGTTCACCTTTTCTATTACCCGACCGCTCAAAATGCTCATGTCGCCGATTGTGTTCTCGCTCTCGCTCTATACCGCCACTGTATGCAGCTATCTCTACCTCTGTTTTACCACGTTCGAGACCGTCTTCCATGACCAATATGGCTTCTCCAGCGGCGAAACTGGTTTGGCCACCCTTGGCATGGGTGCTGGCTGCGTCTTCGGATGTGTCGCATGTGGTCTCCTTACAACTACCGTTTCAAAGTGGCTAACCAAAATGCATGGCGGTAACTCAAAACCAGAATATCAACTCATATCCATGATTCTTGGTGGCGTTTGCACGCCCATTGGCCTTTTCTGGTACGGATGGTCCGCGCATGCCAAGCTGCATTGGATGGTGCCGATTATGGGTGCTGTATTCATCGGCATAGGCATGATCTTTACCTATGTGAGCTTGACTTTACTAGTACTTGATTAATTGCTTTCGCTGACTATAAGCAGATGCCAAGTATGATGTACCTCATTGATATATACACTCGTCATGCCGCTTCAGTAACAGCTGCAAGCACAATCCTTCGATGTCTTCTCGGCGCCGTGCTTCCTCTCGCCGGCCCTGCTATGTACAATGCGCTAGGTCTTGGATGGGGCAATTCTCTGCTTGCCTTCATCTCCATCGCCTTTCTCCCTATACCTATTATCTTATCTCTCTATAGCGAGCGTTTACGAAATATAAGAATCTTCAAGGTAGAATTTTAGTACCGTTCTTATTGAAGAGGCGCCTTTACTATGTTACAAACAAACAGGTTGTACCGTTGAAAGGTCTATATAAGGATGCGGAGGGTCAAAGAGAGGTGACCATACACAGGAAGGACTTAAAGGGACACAGTAATGATCATTGCGGGGCATGAGGTGACGTAATTTGCTATCCCGCTAAGACGTGCCATTCCGCTAAGGAAGGGATGGCAGGACGCCTTGGGATGGCAGGACTGGAAGCAATGAGGATATAAGGATGGACGGATTTCATTATTACTCTCGTTGTCGTCGATTCAAATTGTACTTTCTTACTAGTTACTTTACTTCACAAGATTGTCACATGTTAGTCTTTAGCAATATAGATTGGTGTTTGTCAAAACCCCGGTTACATCCATAACTCTTTTCTACACGAATTGCCAGACAACTCTCACAGAACTAGTCCACATTCCTACTCGCCCTAACCTGGACCAAGTCAGAGAAGTATTAACATCTAACCCCGTGTAACAGAGGGGTCTTTCGCTACGCAGGGGGGAGGTTTACCTCTACTTTATCCTAGACACAACTCCATCTGGCCTAGCGTAACAAGCACGACACTATAAGCAAAACCCCCACTACAACACCACCACTTCACACTTGAATAGAAGAACAAAAAGAAAAGCACATATATTCTCAAAGTCTGCGATTTACCTCCAATAGTCAAAAAAGCATAATTTCACGTCGTTGTGGCGTTATTAGGTTCTTAAGGTGGATGGTTTTGGCTGCCAAAAAGGCGCTATACCACTTTCGAGTTTCGAGGACACCACTACTGTAGGTGGTCAGTGCGTGCAACTGTTCAGCGGATGCAACACCCCACCAAAATTGGTGCTCTACTAAAGATAAGGCTATAGAGCCCTATACAAAAGCTATTATTATAGGATTTTCTAGTAGAGTATTAAGTAAGTAGTAATATATATTTCTATCTATATATATTGTACTAGTAACTTTATATTGCAGCCGCGGGTAGTGGTTTTAGTTGTAAGGGGCTGCGCTCCGGGGAGCAATCGCGAGGTATACAAGAGGTTGTATTCGATAAGGAGCTATCTACTCTGCTTACGTGGTGTTTATTTACTTATTAGAGAAAGGTTATGCTAAAGTATCTAAGCGCGTTGTCTAAGCGCTGCTTAGTCTAAACGTAGTTTAGATGGTGCGCGCGCAGCTTGGCCTGAGATTCCATCGAGGAGCTATCTAAAGGGCGTTCAGCCCGTTACAATACCCCCCTCCTTAGGGGATACCGCATCGCCTCTCCAAAACCCCTCTGGGAGGCGGCCCTCGCTGTCTCGTTTGGCCTCCGTGAATGCTTCCCAACGATCTACTGCCTCAGCGTCCTCTAGCAGCTCAGCTAGTTCAAGCGTCGTTTAGTGGAACCCTTTCTATTTCACCTCGTAGTATAGCTTACGCCCTCTCCTACGGCGGCGTACCTCTTCTGCCATAATGTCCTCTACCTCCCATTCATCTTCTCCGTCTACCTGTAGTGGCTGTGGCTGATAGTCGTCCTGAACCTGGTTTGGGAGGGGATCGTTGCTAGCGAGTTTCAACCAATCAACATAAAAAACAAGGTGTAGTCCTGGAGGCGTATCTAATTCAACTAAGTGGCTATTAATTACCTTCACCACTGTATACTTAGCGTTCTTCCAGTCGAGCTTCTTTGAGCTTCGCCCTGTGCCGTACTGCTAATCGAGCTTCAGCCATACCTTGTCGCCTACTCGGTAGCTCTGTGCCTCTCTCCAAGTCTTGTTCGCCTGTCTCTCCTGTTCTTGTTGAGCAACCGCCATGCCTGCCTGGGCTAGTTCTACGGCTTGTTGTAGCTTAACCGCGATCTCTGCTGCTTTCTGTTCGTCCGAAAGCTGTTCGGCTGGTTTCCGTTGTTGTCTTTCGTTGCTAAGCTCTAGCTGCAGCGGCTCTACCTTATGTCCATGCTGTAAGAAGAAGGGTGACATTCTAGTTGACGTTGCATTCCTGCTATTAATCGCAATCTGGGCCATTGGGCAGAGCCGTGCCTAGTCGTCCTAAGCCTAGTTTGTAAACGATTGGATATAGGTTTCCTAGACGCTGTTCATCCTCTCTGTTGCGCCGTCTGTCTGCGGGTGGTAGGCAGTTAATAGTCTCCGCTTGATCTTCAGAAGCTCGCATAGTTTAGCCTATAGTGTACTCACGA